AGGAAGCTGGGAGAAGGCAGAGGGGAGAAGAGAGAGCATTCCAGGCATGGCAGACAGCCAGTGCAAATAGATTTTGTCTTCAATGAACTAGGAAATGGGCCCCTATAGCTGGATCATTGTAGAGAATGTGGAGGGGCAGTAAAAGCTTTTTACCTGGAAAAATAGGAGGAAACTAGGTTAAGAAGATCTGTATAAGCCAGAGAACTTTATATTTGAACCGGGAGGTAATAGAGAGACACTAGTGTTCATCGAGTAGAGAGATGACATGGTCAGACTCGCATTTTAGGAAAATTACTTTGACAGCTGAGAGGAAGATGGATTAGTAAATAAATTTAGCCATTTAAAGTGAAGCTTTTCAGTTCACATGGGTGTTTTTCCAATCATACATTTTTTGAATCAATTTTTTTTTATCAGTCGGATACTTTGGGAAGAGATGTTTGGGCTGTGAGGTGCAAATGAGAATTCCCTTGTCAATTTCGCACTGTGAAGAAGAGACAGAAAAAAGCTATTGGGAGGGACAACAAATCAATCGAATATCATGGTGAAATAAAGCACAGAACTTTGAACCTAGGGACCTTATTTGGAATCCCAGGTCTGCCATTATGTATGCAACTTTGTTTACTTAACTTATCTAGGCCTTAGTTTCCTCATCTATAAAATGAGGGGGCTGGCCTACAAGGTTCTTTCCAGCTACAAATACTATACACAATACTCCTATAAATAATTATATTGTACCAGCTATTTGCTAGGCACTGAGTATAAGTAGAGAAGTCAATGGTTTGAGGTTCATTTGCACTGTAAGTTTTTTTATGTAGTTATTACTCCTTGAAAAACTATCACATCTCTCCTACTACTCCAGTTCTTAAATCTGTCCCATACTCTAGAATCGGGCATCCAGAGCAGCCTCAGTTATGAGAGGCTATTTTCTGAGCTTCATCAGAAATGGTCAGAACAATGTTACTTCTTAGTCATGAGAAAACCAAGCCACTAGATCCATTCAACTAGAGTTTCTCTAGTCCTGCTACAAAGCATCAAAGTATTATCTAAGGATAGTCAGAACAAAGAAAGACCTTGAAGTGGAAAATTCAGCCTTCCCAATCTTTAACATGGGGTGGGCAGCCTCATCCTCCTTATTTGGACTTCTTAATGAATCCATCATCTAAGGGACATCAGACATTTCCAAAAACAGAGTCAGTAGTAGGCTTATAGTCCAGCATTGGGGCATCAGCTTCATTTTTCTATCACTTAGTGAAACACCATATTAGTCCAAAGAGAAAAAAACAGAATAAAGAGATTGGGGAAGGAGGTAGGGAGAGAAAAGAAACAGAGAACTAAGAAAGAAAAAGAACAAAGGTGACCATCTAATTAGTGTTAATTATACCAGCTGTGTGTTAACCTCAGTTTACATATTAGGAATCATGACCATTTCAGAAATATAGCATTTTCCCCTTCTAAACTTTGTCAAATAAGTAAATGTTAGCCATTTGTATCTTCCTTAACTGTCCTCTTTTATTCTGTCAACCTGTGAAACCAAGGCAATAAATTGGAGTCCATGGGGTACAAGGGAATGAACACTGGTTCAGAAGTCAAATCCAGAATCCTGGATTCGAATCCCACCTCTGCTCATTAACTGTATGACCTTAGAGAAACCATTTAACCTCCTTGGGCCTCAGTTTCCTCATCTATAAACAAGGAAGTTACTTTTAATGACCTCTTAAGATCGCTTCCAACTGTAGCTCATCTATGATGCTGATTGTATTAGCATAGGACAAAAAAAGAAAAAGAAAGAAATCTTATAAATACGGAATCAAAAGATGTAATTTTTCAAATCCTTACTTGAAGAAAATTCTTAAGAAAAACTTGAAGTACATTACTCCAATAGATCTTAAATAATCTTAATTTTAAGGAGGGAATTGCCTATCTATTATAGGATGATCATTTCTCGTTAATATCATTCTACAATCTGAAATCCTAATTACAAATCCAAAAAAATCAAATAGCTCTGTTTGTTTTGCCCAGATTTGCGTGAAAGACATTTCCAAAATAGAACTTCAGGGACTTTTCAGGCAGCTAATTAAACATTCTCCTTAAAAGTGAAGAGCTAAAAATAGACCTGTCATTCCACTTTTTTTTCCTAAAAAAGCCATTATCCCCTACTTTCTCTAGCATTTACAAAGACTAAGATCATTTTACTGCTCTTATATGAGCTGGACTTTTGCTAAAAACAGCTCTTCAAATGGAAGGCAGATCGGCTAATAGAAGATGGAATGAAAGCCTGCTAAGTTTGGCTCAAGTAATTTTTTTTCTCAGTTGTATATAACTAGCAAAAAGGCTTTTTGTTCAGGATCTACATCACCCCATGCCCCTCATACTTCATTCTATCTGTCTGTCTGTTTGTCTCTCTCTCTGTATATATACATACTGCATATATATGTATACATATACATGCACCCACATATACATTTATATTTATATTAAAATTCATTTTTAATATATACCCAATTTATACTTATAGTTCATTTGAGAGTCTGCTGGATATTCTTACTGGAATTTTCAGTTTATTTTTCTCTCTTCCACTTGAACTCTAAATTTTTCACAATGTTTTTGTGCTCTAATGTTGAAAACATTTATTGAAAGAATTAATGTGTGTTTACTAATGATCTCTTTTGTTAGAATCTCAGGAGAATAATTTCTGTGTTAAAGCTCAAAACTTAGCCATGAGATTTATATTTAAACTATGAGAAAAACATGAAACTTTTAACCCAGTTTATTGGTGGATGACCAGTGTGGTTGGAATTGACCCCCATAGAAAAAGATGCTGATTTTTTAAAACACCAATAATGAGTTAGTATAGAATGTAAATAGGGTCTGAAAATATAGGAACTCATGTTAGGAAAGTGTAAAAACTATGTGGGAAAATTACCTCTCATTGTCCTACCTGTCCCTCAACTATAAATGCATTATATCAGTCCCCTAAGAAAATAAGCATTTTCCTTTTAGAAAGTAAGCATTTTCCTTTTAGAATTTTAGAGTTAGAAGGGAGCTCAAAAATCTTCTAGTCCAAGGCACAATTGAGTGGGAATCATTTCATTAGCATTATTGTTTTATTCATTTAACAAATGAATATAAAATATCTACTGGTTGCACGATTATAGTTATAGAACCTAAGGTAACAAGTTGGCTGAATGTCCTATGGCAACACTGACCAAAGAGCTTAAGGATAGGAGCTATATGGGAGGAACCTTTTCTTCCCTAAAACAAAGTCAAATTTTGCCCAGTTCTCTTCAGTTACATCTAGTCCACATCTGAAGAATAATACAAAGATAGAGTAAAACTGGTTTTAACCCCTTGAGAAGCCATTAGCTGTAGCCATCAGCTTTATCTTAGTAATAGTTGTTAAAATTGTAGAAACCAGTATCATCAGAATTGTACTGTGAAGATGGGATAGTGAAAATAGTGGAGACTTAGGTATGACATTGAGGTATCCAGCCTGGGTGAAGATGAGAAATGGAGAATTTAAGGCAAATTGTTTAGCATTTACATTTTTATTTTTGTTCTAGAGCATCCTTATTTTCTAAATGATTATCAGGAAGTGTAGATAGGTAGTTATCTTGCGAGTCTTGAATGTGTTCTCCGCAATGAAACCATACCATAGGAATGTATCCTTAAATTTTTATCTTGTCTTTATAAATTGATAACCATCGTATACTTTGGAGATTATTGATCATGTATTGTTGGGAGTACTATTAGTAATTTTTAATACAACAAAAATTTGTTAACTGTCCACTATGTGAAGAGCACTGCGCTAGGTGTAAGGAGGAGGATTTCAAAGTTTAAATAAGAGAGGCTTTTCTTTCATAGAGTTTACAGTCCAATAGTTATATAGGTCATATATACAAATAAACATAACAAAACCATAAAAGTACATTGGAAAGGGGGAAGGAAATTGCTTTTGTGTAAAGTCTTTAATGGAAAAAGGTCATTCATTATCAACTGGTGGGGGAGGGATTAAGGAAGGCTTTCTGAATAAGTCTTGGAGCACTGTAAAAGACAAACTGGAAGAATGTAAAGAGTATTGAGTATTTCATTATTCTAGGTAGATTCCCTCAAACTATAAAGTGGCAGTGCAAATAGAAAGGAGAGGATGGATTTGAGAGATATATCACAGCTGTGACAGTTCAACTGAAATAACTGATCTATAATTACAAAATGCTAACTAAAACAATTCCCATCTGCTGTATGCTTGGCATTATAATAAGACCACCTCCATTTAATTTAGTGTAGTATTTATTTTGTAGAGGTGGGATGTAGGTAGACCTGTGTTTTCATTGGCAAAGGGATCTCCCACTGTGGAAATACCCTTTGGTACATACATCTCAGATACTCTTTTGTCTTGTGTTTCCTGGGGTGCTGAGAGTAACTTGTCCATTATCAAATAGCCATTTACTCAAGGCAGGACTTTTAAAGTCTTTTAATTTTAAGGTTATCTCTTTAGCCATTAGTTAAGTTCTTTTAATTTTTAAGAAAGCCACATTTTTCTTGTTATTGATTCTCCAAAGATAAGTTTTATTTCAGGTCATAAACATACTAAATGCTCTTTTCAACTTCTGTAAGCTCCTTGCTAGTAGGGATTGTTTTATTCTTTGTATTTTTATCCCCATTATCTTGCACAACTTCTGGTGAGCACTTAAATGTTTGTTGATTGATTGAAGGACCTAGAACTTGAAACATAGGCCTAGCAGTGGGAAACTTCACTAACTTTGCTCCATTTTCCAGTTGACAGATGAACAGCAATGTACAGTTCTGGTGATTGCCTTTGCCCTCATAGAGTTTACAGTCCAATAGTTATATAGGTCACATATACAAATAAACATAACACAAAATCATAAAAGTGCATTGGAAAGGCGAAAGGAAATTGCTTTTGTGTAAACTCTTTAATGGAAAAAAATGACTAAATGTAATCTCAATTACAAATTATTCTTTTTTCCTTCTCTTGTCAGTTCGTTCCTTTGGTACAGAAGACAGACCAACAGATAGACCAATACCACCTCGTGATGAAGTTTTTGAATACATTATCTTCCGTGGTAGTGACATTAAAGACCTCACTGTTTGTGAACCACCGAAACCACAGTGCTCTTTGCCTCAGGACCCAGCCATTGTTCAGGTAAGACCTGTGACAGTTAAACAGTTAATGATTCATACTGGAGCATAGTTAGTACCTTTGAAATTAGAGAATATTTTAAAGATAATAGAGTTTCATTTTTAAGTACATACTGAGACTATCATGGATATTAAGTAAAATTATGTAAGGCAGTGAAAAACTAATAGTCCCAATAAGTTATAATATGGATTATATCATAAAACACGAAAGTAGTTAAGCATACAAAAATATATTCACAGTATATGTCTTGTTCTTCATATGGTCTTACTATAAGTAAGGGGAATCCATTTTAAAATTAGTAATTTTCTCAAACTAAGAACTCAAGGAATTAAGGATTTTTAAACATATCTTTTATTTTAGGGATCCAAAACTCACACATGTTAGATTTAAATGATCACAAGTTCTAAATTAGTACATATTCATTTTATATTTACATTCTATATGACTGCAAACTAAAGATTACCAGAAATATGTAGAAAATTACTGAATCCCAGACATAACATAGCAGCAGAACCAGTTACTTAAACAGGATATTCACTTAGATCAAGAAGCAAAATGCTTTTTTTTAATGCTATCTCTGTAACACATAACTTTTTTTTCTTTTAAATTCACCAGTCTGTACTATGAGCTAACATTTGCCTATTCTTTGTCATCAGTTTGATCATTTTACATTATTTATAATAGAAATATTTCTTTGTTTATCTATAAGTGGTGGAAAAGCATTGGAGACCTAGATTCTAGTGTTAACTTCACTGTTAACTCACGGTGAACAAAGGACCTAGTTACCTTTCTGAGCTCTATGAAGTTTCCAAAGTAAATATAATGTAGAGTGTAAAGTTAAATTTTCTAAAGGGAGAGAAGAAAGGGAATTTTTAAAAAAGAAGTTCTTAAGGGTTTTTTTCTACCCATTCAGTCACTTTCAAGTGAGAAGAAAAATCTATAGTTTTAAGTCTTATTCTTCTAAAGATATACTGATTACTACCACGAGTTGACGAAAATCTGACAAAATAGATGTCTGTACAGGGAAACTATTGCTTAATGGGGAAAAGGAAATGGATATCCTACTAGAACAATCTACTGTTTCCCCTCGGTACTATTTGTACCTGCCATCTTTTGTGCATGTATTGAGCTATAAAATTTTTTTGCTTAATCTTATTTAGTGAGGAAATAATCAACCAGTGATGTCGTATGACTAACTCAGTCTTTCAAGAATAAACAAGCAATATTTATTAAGCATTCAGTGTGTGCCAGGCACTGTGCTAACCTCTCGTGATAAAAAAAAAATGCAAAATGGTCCCTGCCCTTAAGGAGTTTATATTCTGATGGGGGAGAAAACATTAACTTGTTACCTAAAAACTCTGATCCTAGATTTATGGGTGTCTGTCAACAGTAGGCATACTATAAATAATTGTGGGGTAAAGTATGTGAAAATGTTAACTAATTCTTGAATTTTTGCTATGAAATATAAAAAGTGTTAAGTTCAAGATTTTAACTCCATGATATATTTTGAGGGGTTAACTCAGAAAACCCTTTTTCTTTTCACTGTGATTATTGAAAGTCTTGGCCTTTGTTGCCTAATTCAGTATAATAAGGTTTTAAATTTTCTCTTGTGTAATCCCATAATACAGGTGCTAGTGGTTAAAGTAGGTCATTCTAAGATATAGATATTTTGCAAAAGGTACCTAACTCAGTCAAATACTTTTTCTTTAATTCATTGCCTATAAACTAGATGTTACCCTGCTCACTCAAATCGGGTGTTATTGTATAAAACATCTTTATAAGTCACAGGTATACCATTACTGAAATGAGAAGATTACGTAAGGGTTTATCATATATATAATATATATATAATATAATATAATATAATATAATATAATATAATATAATATAATATATATAATATAAATAATATAAATATTAAATGTATGTTCTGGACATTCTGGCCTTTTCATTGCATTATTAAGATTTTAACAGTTGCCATTTTTTTAATTGTAGAAAACAAAATGTTCCTTTCTAACAGTGCTAATTATGAAATAAATGAATAACATTTTTTTTCCTTCAGTCTTCACTAGGATCATCTACTTCTTCATTCCAGTCAGTGGGTTCCTATGGTCCTTTTGGTAGGATGCCAGCTTATAGTCAGTTCAGCCCAAGTCCATTAGTCGGACAGCAGTTTGGTGCTGTTGGTGTTGGTATGTGGTGTGTTTTTTGTTTTTCATTTTTGTTTTAATTTTCCCTCTCCTATGAAGATAAAAAATGCAATTAAATATTTCATCTAAAATTCACATTGAAAAACCATGCTTGTGTTTTTTATGTAAATATGTTTACTTTCTCCTACATTCTTGATGCAATTATGAAATCATTTTTAGTTACATTTTACATGATTTCTAAGAAATATTTTATTTCATTTTACATACTTAGTAATTTTACTGAAATTAACTGTTTTTCCTATTATATCACATATATGCTAAACTTCTAATTTTTCTTGAATAACTAGAGGTTTCTGAACTGTGTAAACCTTACTCAGTACAATTATGTATCTTTTATACCCAAATTCTAGATTTATTTGAATGTGTTAAACAGGTAAAGAAAGAAGGTATGGTGGCTTGAATACTTTAATCAGACAATTTCTTATTTCATGATAGCACAAGACAGTTTGACTTACAGTATAAACTTTTCAAATCTTAATCATAATATTATTTTGGAACTTTTGATTTCACATGAAGATTGAAAAACAAATCATATTAATAACAGTTGGCTCCTTGCAAAGCAATGCTGGTCTTCTGAAAGGTTTTTTTTTTTAAAGAATCTCACTTAACATAATTTATCTACATCTTACTCTATTTCAAAATAAGACCATAACAGGAAAATGATACCAGATAAAACCAGATAAAAACCAGATAAAAAGCAAGACTTTTGATTTTTATCCTTTCAACTATATTTTAAGTCAAATTTTATATGAGGGGCAAAAAATTTAGTCTACTAGCTCTAAAGGTTTAACTACCAAAATATCTTACATACTTATTTTACAGTAGTTTACATTTAGGGAATCCTTTTCCCTAATTTTGCCTTGTTTAAATATTTTATTATACTTAAATGTGACAGGAAAGAAAGGTTAACTTTTTTGCTTTTGTGTTTTGCTGTTTTAATTTTGATAGATGAACAAGAGTAGTGGCGGGTTATCATCATCCTGAAATATTAGGTAACAGATTATATATTCTAAGAGCGAAGAACTATAAAAAGTCTCAGTTGTTAAATAAGGAGGAGAAAAACCATAGCTTTCTCTGGACTCATGATAGCAGCACTCTTTTTAAAAAGCAAGGTAGAAACCAACTGAAATGTTGTTTGTATTACTCATATTGGCTAAGCCTGGTTATAAACCCGTACTCACTTTTTATTTTTGTTCCTTTGTGACCCTAGTTTTTTTATATGAAGCAGAGAACCAGTTAAGCCAGGACTAAATATCTATAGAGTTACTGTAATGAAAAAAACATTGTCTAATTCTTTGGTTTCCAAGGTTATTCTTGTAGCTTCAGAATTAAACTGCAGGAACTATTTTTCCAGCTTGTCATTACCTAGTTTGGGGCATTTTATTTGAGTTGAAGGACCATTTTGCAGAAGCAAAAAGAAAAGGAAGGGAGGAATTTGTCAAAATAGTTGGCCATCATTTCCCTGAATGTTCTGTGACAATCATAAGCTATATTTCCAACCATATTCTTAGTCATTTGGCTGTCATTACTAACTTCAAAGAATGCTAAAATCACCTTTTTTCCTTTTTTAAAGATAATGATATGGAAGTATGTGTGAAGGGTGCTGAATAAGTTTATCCTTGGAATTTATTTTCAATTCCAAGGAATTGAAAATAAACTTTTAAAAATTTCAGGAGATTTTTAAATTTTACATGCTTCTTAGGAAAGATTTTTAGGCCTGAGACTTTTTTGAATCTTCTGCATTCCTCACTTGGTGATATGTGTGTACAAGTTGTGTACAAGTATACATTATAGAGAATTTTCAACACCAGATAGGGATTTTATGTATTTTGGTATTGAGGGTTCTTTTTGTTTTTAAATTACTTGTAGATTTTTTTCATATCAGCCAAGATTGAGTACTTAGTGTGTGCCAGGCACTGTGCTAATAATAAGCACTAGGAATATAGAGAAAGATAAAAATAGTTCCTGACATCAAAGACCATATATTCTAATAAGAGAGACAATATGCAAGTAACTATATACATACAAGATGCAGAGACAGAGAGAGAGAGAGCAGATGTTAGGACATCTCAGACAGAAAGGAAAACATTAGCAGTAGGGGAACCCAGGAAAAGCCTCCTTCAAAAGGTAGGATTTTAAAGGAAGCTAGTGAAACCAGGATGCAAAAGTGAAGAGGGAGCGCATTCCAGGTAAAAGCGAATGAAAATTTATGGAATTGGGACATTCAGTGTTGTGTGTAAGAAAAGCAAGTATTGTAGCTTGTGTGGAGGGTAGTGAAGTGTAAGACTAGAAAGGTAGGAAGTGGCCTGGTCATGAAGGGCTTTAAACGCCAAACAAATAGGATTTTATATTTGATCCTGGAGGGAATAGGAGCCACTAGAATTTGAGTGTAGGAGTGTCAGGGTGACGTGATCAGACCTATGCTTTAGGAAGGTCACTTTGGCAGCTAAGGGAAGGATGAAGTAGGGAAAGACTTGAAGCAGGGAGTTAGTTGAATGAGAGTAAAAAATTGAGGATGACACCAAAGTGTCAACCTAGGCGACTAGGAGAATGTTGATGCCCTCAACAATAATAGGGAAATTGGGGGAGGCGGGGGGAAGATAATGAATCATTTCTTTTTTGAATATGTTGAGTTTGAGGTGCCTGCAGGACATCCGATTCAAATATCTAAAAGACATATGACAATTCAGGACTGGAGTTCAGGAGAAAGACTAAGGGGATATATGAGTAGAAAGACAGACACAGAGAGAGAGCATCTATGTAGAGATAGAGCTCTAGAGAAGGCCTGCACAACAGGGCCATTTGCAGCCCACCAAAGCAGCTGTGGACAGTATGTTGTGTGGGCCTGTTTTACATCCTCTACGTTTTTCTTAGGCAGCCTGGAATCTAGAGGCCCATGGGCAATATGTGATATAGGCCTGCCTAAGGGAACTTCTCATAGTCAGTTTTGCTGAGGGGTTTGCACCACATACAACCTGTGGGCTGCTTTGACCTAGAGGGACACCCATGGTAAATGGATGTGACCTAGAAGAAGATCCTGCAAAGCATGAGGAGAACTAGGAGAGAGCAGTGTGACAAAATCCTAGAGAGGTGAGAGCATCCAAGAGAAGAGTGATCTCTGGTGTGGAAAGCAGCAGAGTTCAAGAAAAATAAGGGTTGATAAAAAGCCACTAGATTTGACTAAAAGATCTTTTCTAACCATGGAGAGCACTCAGAAGCATGATTGCTGAGGTTTTAGAAGAAAGTGAGAGGAAAGGCAAAGAATCTAACCAAGAAGAGGAGAGTTATAATCAAAGATTATGGATAGGGATAGAAATAATAACTCAAATTTACTTGAAAATAGCAGGTTGCTATAAAGTACTATAATGTGAAATATTTACAGAATGATGTGCAATGGAAAGAACAATGAACCTAGTCAGGAGAACTGGGTTCTAATTTTGACATGTCAGTAACTGTCCATGTGACTAATCAACAAATCAGCAAATGACTCAGCTTCCTTTCCTGTTAAAAAAAGGGAGTCTAGATGAGACAATATCATGGGTCTCTTTGTAGATATAAAATTCTGTACTTTGCATTTCAAACTTTTCTACATACTAGATTAGTATGGTGACTTAGTGTATGTATGAATTTTTATTGGACATGATCTTCATAAAATAATTTGTTAGTATAAGAAAATATATAGTGGCATTGTTTTTCTTAAATCTTGTTATATTTAGGATTGAATCCTAATCCTAATTTCTGTGGAAAGGACAAACTAATTTGTCGCGTGAATTTTCCAAGACTGTTCAGTACTTCACTCTGGTATTTCCCTCATTTCATTTATCTCCTCAGTTTTAACCAGATCTTAAACTGAAATCAGAAAGATGTGTTTCTGTTTTTGTACTCTTACCTCTTTGTTTAGCACAAGCCTGTGTACATAGTAAGCATTTAATAAATACTTAAAATAATATTATCATCATCATAATTTTTATTGTATTCTTTTTAGCTTTTTCTTTCACTTCTTATCTTTGAATTCCTTGTTAAGTGTAAGATCTGTAATCATATTACTTGAAGCTGCTTTTCAAGTTTTTGTCCACAGAAAAAAATTGAAGCTCCAAATATATCAATTAAGGATTAAAGTAGGTTTTTTTTTTTCATTTGGAACTAAGATTGCTCCCTTATATATATTGTGTAAATAAATAAACAAATGAGTAAATAACAGACAAACCTTAAGAAATATTTCTCCCATCTACAATTAATAGCTTGTTGTGTAAGGACTTCTGGCTGATTTACTAGTAAAAGGAAAAGATAATGTGAACTACCTAGCCATATAAGTTGGGGCCTTGTCAGGGTGCAATCAACATGGTTATCCTGTATAAGACTAGCTCTGCTTTGCTCACATTGACTGATTAATAAGGAACTTGCAGTTCAGATTTACATTTTGCAAGCTTTAGACCTATTTATTCCATCAAGCTGAATTTAGAGAGAGGGAAAGTGATTGTTCCTAGTAATAAAAGGTGAATGTTTCCTAGTTAATAGTAACATACTTTTATGCTATACCGGGAAAAAAGAATTAAAGAGAGTCAGATTTTGACAGATTTCTCATAGAAAATCAATAGGCTATCTGCAAAGGGTGATGAGTTTCCCTATCACTAGAAATGTTCAAGTAAAAATTTGTTGACTGCTTGTTGGTTGTGGTATAGTAAGGACTCCTTTATAATATAGGAAATTGGACAGAATGACCTTATAAGTCTCTCCCAGCAGTATTCTATGATTAAATTATAGCTGCTGAAATTTATATAACACTTAAAGGTCTGCAGAGTACTTTTTATATTTTATCTCATTTGATTCTGATAACAGCCTCATGAAATGTGTGTTGTTTTGGTCCACATTTTACAAATGAGAGATCTTGGATCTGTAAAGGTTAAATGACTTGCGTAAGGTCACACAGCTAGTAGTTGTCTCAGGTGGGATTCGAATCTAGATCTTTTTGATTCCAGGTCTAGCACTATATCTACCACAGTGTAATAGGAATGCCAGCTTACATTTAGACATCTTGAAGTGAATGGACACCTTGTATTTATTCATTTCAACAAGTAAATTTTTTTTAGCACCTAATATGTGGATAGCATTGTGGAATAAAGGTGTTATAAAAGGCAGTGTAAGGCACTACTCCTATCTTTGAGTAAGTTATTGTCTAGTTGAAGAGACAAGACATAGGAAAGTTAAATAGTAATGAAGTACATTATAAGATTAAGCACCAAAATGAGTGATATAGTCAATGCTATAGGAATTCAGAGAATTGGAATATTAGCATGACTTGCCAGAGATTCACTGTGAATCCTATCTAAGGCCCCCCATCACTCAAGGCCCCAGAACTTCCTAACAAGTCTCAGTACATCATTCTGTAAATATTTATATCATATTATAGTACTTTATAACAACATCAAGCTGCTATTTTCAAGTAAATTTGAGTTATTATCCTTGGGACATTGTCGTAGCTGAGGGCCAGCATTCATCTAACTAGAAATTTTCATGTAAAACATTAGTGCACAGATTAGTTTAGGTACAAGTAAAATCCTTATCAAAATAATTCTACCAGTAGTGCTAATATTTAATAAATTTATTCTGGTGGCCTCCCTTTTAGTCACTGACGCTATTACTTTATTTTATCTCTTCCTTCTTTTGATCCAGTCCCCATGATCCCCCATCCCCAGTAGACATTCACACAGAGCAAAACAACTCTCTGTCAGCTTAATCTCAGCTATTTTGCCAGAAAAGCTACAAGTGGAAATACTATTTACATTCTTTTAATAGTAGTGGTCATTGATTTTTTTCCAAATATTTGCACAAAAAAATCATCCTGTGAGCCTGAATTGAACAATTATGTAAAAATTAGAAGATTGCTACTAAATTACCTTTGAAAGATGTTTGCTTTGCTCCCTCTTTTAGCTGGTAGCTCCCTGACATCTTTTGGGACAGAAACAACAGCCAGTGCTGCCTTATCCCAGAGCAGTGCAGTCGGGTCTGCCTTTACACAGGATGCAAGGTCTTCAAAAACACAGCCATCTCAAGGTACTCTTCTTTATTCCATAAGTGTGTCTTTTTGTTTTTTTAAATCCGCAGTAGTTTTTTGCCTTTCTCTGAGAGGTAGGAACCTTTACTCCTAAAATTAAATTTTTACGTGGATTTCAATACCCAGATTTTGTCACATGATAAAAATTCCAGATACTCTGAAACATCCCTGTTGAATTTTGCAAAAGCTTTCACAATTAGGAATCACTATTCTAATTTTTCCAGTACTCAGAAAGTAGAAGGGAAAGGAAGCGTGAGGTCCCTGATATTGTAAAATTTACTAGATGATTTTACAACACAGGAATCTTAATTTACAATTTAAGTATCAGATTTTTCATTGAAGGAAGAACTATTACTATTGAACCCTGACTTCTGTTTACCACCGTAAGCACATTTAATTAATTAATGTGACTTTAAGTCACATTTAATTTTTTTGGACCTAAGTTTCCTCATCTTTCCCCTTCTAGCTCTAAATATATAATCAATTGGTAAATAGTAATTCCATTGCTGTTTATCATACTGCTTCTTCCCTAATATCCTCAGAAGTGCCTAGAAAAGTACCTCGTATATAGGCACTACTAAATATTTATTAATTGGTTCCCTCTAGCCTTTTTAAAATGGGCATTTTTCCAAACATATATTTCATTTTTAAACACTACCATGCTGAACTTAATGTTCACGTTTTATCTTATAATTATCCACTACTACCATGCTATATGATCTGCAGATACTTATCTTAACATTTTGTCTCATTTTCACCCATTTTTATTATGGATTCAGTGTGTGCTTGTTCCCTGTTTTCATGGAAATAGTGAAGATTAGATTTAAAACTAAAATCTGCTGAAGGCTGATGAATGTCTACCTCTATTTTGACTGCTGATTTAAGTTCTATAAATACAGTGCAAATGACGATATGGTATTATAGAAAGTACCTTAGACTTGGAGTCAGAAGAATTGGATTCAAACAATATTTATGGAATTTATTAGCTGAACAATACTTGGGTACAACACTGAAAAAAAACCCTAAAATCTGTAAATTAAACGTGTTGGCCTCAGAGAAAGGCACCATATGAATATGATTTTAAAATACTGCTTTAAAAATCATTTAAGGTATGACAGCTCAAGGCAAGAAAAATGGAATTCTCATCTTGTAGAGTTCCCATTTGATAATTTTAGAATAGTTGTAATCACTATCATCCATACAAAATCGAATTTTTTTCAAAATGGTATCACTGTGGAAGTTGACCTGGTTAGCAATTGAATACAAGTTTTCTTGTAAAGCCAGCTAGTTTCAATTTGACAGCTATGAACATAAGTGCTTTTAAAGCCTACATTTGGATGAAAATGAGGGTGCAAGTGAATATCCAGCCTATTTTTCCTATTAAATTAAAAGCCTATTTTCTACTGAATGTGGAGAAGATATGAAGGCAGCCAACAAAGTAGCTTTCTAAATAGAAGTATGTTGTACTCTGTTATTCATCTCTAATTTCACTGACTTGTGGACTTTCAGTGAAGATAATTTTTTTAATCTTTTTAAGTTATTCTTACTACCATTACACTCCAACTTAGAGATTCTTCCATACTTTATTACAGCATCCTTTTTTATTGAAGGAAGAGAACTTATAAAAAAGTTATAAAGTTACTGAAAGTTCTTAAAAGTTGGGAAAACGTTAAGACCATCTGTAACAATAGTCCCATCACAATAATTATGTATTGAAGGTATGTTTCATAGAGTTTATAGTTAGCTTTCTACAAGGATTTAACGATTATTTAAATCAAAATGTACTTTTCAGAATTGAAGATTTTATTTTTCTAGACTCCACATTTGTGTACAATCTTCCAGAGAAAAAATAGAATGTTTACAATATTGTAAATTTACTCAAACATCTTTTTAAAGTTTGCCTCAACGAAAATAGATGAATTGACCACCAGATTTTGATTTGGGACTGTAGTGAAATGTGTTTTATGTCAATTTTTAATGAACATATATTTTATTATATAAGTAACAGTATTGGCACTATTTAGGAGGTTTAGGAGTGGGGAAATGTAATACAGGTGGAAGACAACTGGATTTGGAGTCTGGGTTCAAATCTAGCTCTGCCATTTACTCTGCTTAAATGACCTTGGGCAAGCATGTCACCTCTCTGGGCCTCAGTTTTTTCATAAGTAAAATAAGGGAGTGGGCTAGTCAACCTTATGGGCCTTTCCAGCTATAAATCTGTGATTTTTATGGTTATGTGATAATTAACTGATAAGAATTCCATTCCAGCCAAGGAGCGTTTATAAAGGTAGTATCATTCCTCAGTTTGTAAGTCTTAAATTTTAAACAACAATACTAAAAGACTGTGTAAAACAGTTATTTTTCCAGGTCAGATTATTATGTGATGTGAAGTCATCCTCAGTTGAAATGCACTAATATTCGACAACTGGCCAGTTTTCAGTTTTGGTCTGAGTAAGACATAATTGCCCCACCCAACCCTTTCAATAAAAAGATTAATGCTATCTCCCTTCGGTCTGGATTAGTGGAGCTGAGAATGCAAATATTTTTTCTTTTAGGGTCTGGATTAATAAATTTGAAATCCACAAGGGTAGGGTAGTTTCTTATCTTTTGGTTACATTTTAGGTCGTTCAAGCCCTCAGTTAGACCCTTTGAGAAAAAGCCCAACCATGGAACAAGCAGTACAGACCGCCTCGGCCCACTTACCTGCTCCAGCACCTGTTGGGAGAAGGAGCCCTGTATCAGCCAGACCTTTGCCATCTACCAGCCAAAAAGCAATAGAGAATCAAGAGCACAGGCGAGGTAGAACTTTAGATGTTTATTCCTTTAATTGACTGACCAAACATTTTCCATTAGTCCTCTTTTCATCCAAGGGATTTGTTTTGTAAGTGATCTTAGCAAACTTAAACTTGAACTTTATAATATTCAGTCTGTCAAATTTAACCCTTAAAGTGGGTGGGGGAAATGGAAGATCAATATGAGCATGACATGATGTGAGAGTTTTTTTCATATTCCTATTCACAAAGCAAAGCTTTTAGTTATTTGTCATCTAACAGTTAATTTATTGATCTGCATATTTTTTGTTCTATAGCTGAAGCACACAAAATTTCCAGACCAGAAAGTGAACAAATCAGAAATGAAAACAAGAGACAAGCAGGTAAGTTATTCAAAGCTGAGCCTCGCTGCCACTATGAAAAATCATGGAATTAGAGCTGGATGGAACGTTAGAGATCATCTAATCCAAACCCTGCTTCATTGACTAAGGGACTTGCCCATATTCAAACAGTTATTACCTGGCAGGACCAGTATTTGAACCTGCTACTCAAGACACCAAATGTAGTGATCTTTCTACTACAGTTTATTATAAGTTCATTTAAAATTAGCGAAATCAGTTTATTTAGATATATAAAGATATACAGCAAACTCACTAAAGATAACTGATTAAATAAAATCTGATTTTTTTTAAGTGCTGCCTTTTCAGGTATTCTATTAGCTATTTAACTATATGTTAGCTATGAAACTATATGTCTTTATATCTTATGTTCTTTGACAAATCCTTGGATGTGACTAATTCACTGTATAATATGTTCTTGCAGAGGTTTTTAAGTGAATGTTTTATTTTTCTTAAAATACAAGCTTCAGTACCTTCAAAGATCTGTGATTTAATCAGTGTGGGGACTCTCTCCTTCAATACGGATCAAGCCCCTCCACACATTAGTAGTAGAAGATTGAATGAGTCATAGTTGCACAAAAATTAGATAACCTATTAGCTATTTATTTTATGATGTGCTCCTCTGAACTTAGCTAGGCTTAGCCTCTGAAAACTAAAGTGCAGTCGGTGGACAGGCCCAGGCATAAAACCTTCCCAATCTCAAAAGCCCTGCCAGAACTTATTCTAGTCTTAACTTCAGTCACCAAAAGTTACTTCTATGCTATAATAAGGCATCAGAATAGAACTTTAAGATTTCAATTATATAAAGACTAAAGGAGTAACATACCTTATATAAGTAATGTAAATTGGATGAATATAGTCTTATCCTATATTCTCATAGTTCCGGGTGGCCCTTCAGCACCTCGAAGAGGACGGGGCGGTCATCGTGGTGGCAGAGGAAGATTTGGGATTCGGCGGGATGGCCCAATGAAGTTTGAGAAAGACTTTGACTTTGAAAGTGCTAATGCACAGTTCAACAAGGAAGAAATCGACAGAGAATTTCATAATAAGCTTAAATTAAAAGGTAAATCTTTCTTCCCCAGAAATCATCTTGTATGACTGGTGAGTTAATAGTGGTTTGCATGTGTTTTTTAATCCAGTGTTAAGTTTTTGTTAATAGAAATGTATAAATTTTTATTTCTGTAATATGTGGTTATTTTTGTTTGTTTTTTTATTAGAAGATAAACTTGAGAAACAGGAGAAGCCTGTAAATGGTGAAGATAAAGGTGATTCAGGGGTAGACACCCAAAACAGTGAAGGAAATGCTGATGAAGAAGATCCACTTGGACCTAATTGCTATTATGACAAAACTAAATCCTTCTTTGATAACATCTCCTGTGATGATAATAGGTATAGCCTTTTAGGTGGATATTACATCTGAAGTTTACTTACTTTATGAAAAAAAAATTGCATGTACTAACATTGTTGCATGAAAAAAACTAGAAGTACCTAGTAAATAAAATTAGCTTTTTTAAATATTTAATTTTGTGAGAAGGTTTTAAAGCATTTTAACATTAAAAAGAATAGGTGTGGATGTTGTAGCATGTTTTTGTTCAGGTACAAGTTTAATTAAGATTACCTCTGAGGTAGTCTAGCTATAGGATTCCTTGGGGTGGGGGGCACACATATACATGCATGTACATATACCAAGTATATGCTATATATTTGTTCAGTCTACTTTACTGTGATAATTTTGTGAAATTATTTTTCATGCCTATAAATTTTTTCTTTTCAAAATAATTTTATTATAGGAACATGGCCTATATTTGTACCACCATAGTTTAAATTTTTACTTGGACTTGTATTCACACTTAAAAATTAATAGATGTAAATCAGAACTATTCAATTGGGATAAAAAAAAACTTTTTCTGTCCCTTGCTTTTGTTATTCTTAGTAAATCTCATTTTAAAATTGTAGTCTGAAATTAGAGCATTTTTGTTGTTAAATTTGCCAGCATTTTTACATAGACTAATATGCACTTTTTCTGTGGTTAGACCTTATTTTAGTCTATAAGAGCAGTACACTGAATTTTTTTATACATTAGTGGCTTATAGTAACTTAGACAATGTACTTATTTTTTATTATCTTTTTAGAACTCACTTTTTTGATTAATTTAGAAATTTACTGATTTAGTTTGTACTAAGGAATTTTTTAAAAACATAACAACAAAATGTAGACTTGATCTTAAGGCCTGTTATTGTTATGATAGAGAAAGAAGACCAACTTGGGCAGAGGAAAGAAGACTAAATGCTGAAACATTTGGAATTCCCCTCCGTCCAAATCGTGGCCGTGGAGGCTACCGAGGTAGAGGAGGAATTGGTTTCCGTGGTGGCAGAGGTCGTGGGGGTGGAAGAGGTGGTAGCTTTGCCACTCCTCGAGGATTTCGTGGTGGATTCAGAGGTGGCCGAGGGGGCAGGGAGTTTGCAGATTTTGAATATAGGGTGAGTAGTATATATGTGCTTTGATTTTTTTTTCTTCTGTTATACTATAAAACAATTAATAGACCATTTGTGTGTGTAAGTATGTGTATTACTTGACAAAGGAGTCTGTGAATTATGTTCATATTATTGTCCTACTTTTGTCTCTAAAAGTGAGGGAATCCCCTCACATAGCACAATATGGTGGAAAGAGCTATGTGCCTGGGCAAGTCACTTAATCTACCAGGGTCTGAGATAAGTTTCCTTATCTGTAACATGAGGAGGTTAGACTAGATGACCTCTGAGATCCCCCTTAATTCTGTAACCCAAACATGTCCTCTAGGAGAAAGGAGGAAACCCCATTTAAAAGGTCTGCTGGACACATAAAGAGGGTAGCTGAAAACAGAGACATACTGACAGCAATTCCAAATACTCAAGAGTTAAGAACATGGTAGTTTTCATCCTAAGTTTTACCAGAGATCTCTTAAGCATAGTAATCAAACACTACCAAAATTTCTCACTTGTGACCCGTACTCAACCAGATCCAATGGCATTTTCCCAGTTTTGATCATAGTTGACCTCTCTTCCTACACTTATCTTCTTCCTCTTACCCTCTAAACATGTATTGTTAGTGTCTCCCACCTTATACACTATACTCTCTAAACTCCTTTAGTAACCTCATCTATTCCCATTGTTTAACTTTCCATCTCTCAGTAAAACCCACAATTCTGGACCTCCAGATTTGACCTTTCACCTAGAGTCCCATATGTTTGGCTTTCCAAACTATGATATCTCTACTTAAATACCCAGTCATCATCTGGAGAGGCAATTACAGGGAGTAGAAAGAATGTTGGACTCCATTAGAGAGACTTCCAAAAGAATTTTAGCTCTGACTTTATAAATGTAGCTATTAGCAACAAGTATCCAAACCATTCTGAGCCTCACTTTCTTCATTTGTAAAATGAGATGCTTCTATTAACCAGCCTCACAGAATTGTTTTAAGGCAAGCATATGGTAACACTGAAAGCTCTTAAGTAAATGTAAATAGTTGTTGTCATCATCACATACTGATACCACATCCATATCACGAACTGAAATCATAATCTCTCCCTTCCACTTCGCTCTTCTCCCCAACTATACATTTCTGATGATGGTACCATCAGTCCCCAGACTAAATACCAAGCAATCATCTTTGTCTCTTCCCTTTCACATCTATTCCATCACTACGTCTTATTGTTTTCTGAATTGTTACTGCTTCACACTCACTCCTACATTTTGCCACTGCCACCTTCCAAGTCCAAGCCCTCTCAATTTCATGCCCAGATTACTGTAACAACCTCAAAAAGTTTTGAGAACTGTTAGTATAGAGAATAGAATAGTAGAGTAGGAATCAAAAAACCTGGGTTTGTGTCCTAGCCCTGTGATCTTGAGCAATTTCCTTCACTTCCCTGGGCCTCACTGTCCTCATCTGTAAAACAAAGAAGTTACTCTAATTTATCTCAAACATTTCCTCTAGTTTTAAACTATTGAGAATCTTTTTTCTGACTTGTGCAGATCTCTATGCTACATATCCACACGTATCTGTCACTGTTCTCCAACATTCTTTTTCCACTCTGGTCAGACAGGTTTGCTGTCTGTCCTGCAAAACATACATCTCTGTGTCAGACCTTGTTGCCTAGCTTGGAAGGCTGTACCTACTGTCCCTTCCCTCCAGCCCCATCTAAATCCAGTTTATTCTTCAAAGGCCACCTCAAATTCTCTTCCTATAAAGGTTCTTCCTCATATTCCAGCCAAGGCTGATGTCTCCTTTCTCTAGCCTCCTGTTGTGCTGATAACATATAATTGTTCTGTGTTTGTATTGTCTCCCCACTTAGACCGTAATCTTCTTGAGGGTGTCTTATATACTTCCATACTATAGCACCTTTCACACTTGTAGGGACCTAATAGGTTATGGGTAAACATCTGCAGATTGACTATAAGATTTAAGATTCCTAGACCTTTTCAGTCATTTCAAAGGCTAGAAGCATGGCATAGCAGAATATTTGGATCTGCTCCTGCATTTGGTAGCCAGTCCTGCCATATGTTATAATGGCATCCTGCTTGTAGCAGCGTAACGTCTTTGAATGTTTGAATTAATCACTAATGAGTACCTTAACTTTAAATATTTAGGAGTTTTTTTTCAGTGTTATATATTTTCCCAAAAATCAGTTATTCAGTGTTCATCTACAGCAGTTGTTCGCACCTGAAAAGGGAGTTCCTCAGGACCAGCTCCCTACATTTTATGACAGAGATGTCCATGTCCCCTGTAGGACTGCTATCCAAAAGTATTTACCCTTAGTGAATTGGAAAATGCATTTAACTAGAAGACTCTGCTGTCTATCTGTGCCAAGAAATTTAGGGATTGCTAAATGTAGAAAATACAGAATGTTATAATGAAAGCCATTAAACAGAATGGGAAGAGGGGATGAATGTAGGCTACTAGTAAAGAAAATTATATTGCAGCGATAGGTGAAGTAACAAGAAGTTATTCATAAGACTATTTGAAGCATAAGGTAACTTTTTTTCCCTCCCCTTTTTAGAAAGACAACAAAGTTGCTGCATAGTCTACGGAAAAGTCTTGGAAGTAGGTGAATGTCTATCTAGGTCTTCATGGTCCAGAGAATTAGCTTCAATCCTTGAAAAGAATGAAGAAGTGAATTTGCTGTATATTTGTCACCAGCACTGGGGTTTCACTGCTTAATTTCAAAGGGTATAATGCAGTTACTTTTTGAAAAATGGCCATCTTCAGAAATGTTGAGCATTAAATATATTTGGAATAGCAGAAGGATAAGTAATTTCTTATGTATAGTTAAACACAAACTAAACCAATACTTCAATGGAACTTATAAGTATTTTTTCATCACTGAGAGGATTTTTCTTATCACTAAATTGTATTTGATAATTACTGCAAGTTACCTGCAGATGGGGCCGTGATACTGTGAGTGTTTTGAGCCACAGAAGGTTGTTTTTTGGGAAATCCTGTAATATCCCTCTTGAGGTAGCTTATTTCGTCAACTAATTAGGGTGCTGGATGGTAGAGAATTTTCTTTGTCAGTCAACTATGTACACACAGTAAATACTGTTTCTTAGGCAAAGGTACCTTTTTTATATAGTTGTAAAATTCCATTATATCCCATTGCCAAAGAAACATTAAGAACTTTGTATAGCTGTATAAAAAGCAACTAATTTTTTAAAGAATAAACATTTTTAAGTCAGCAAACATACTGTGTTATTGCAAAAGTTGATATGCTAAGGAACAGAGTTAATAGTTGGTTTTTTTCTTAGCTTTTCAGGCTTTAAATTTGTTTGATTTTTATATTTGGAATATAAATGAAGATTTGGTGTGTTCTTCCATTATATAAAAGAGGATAAATTCTTCATTTTCACTTGCAAGAACTTCATTTTGTAGCGTATGGCATATCACAGGATTTGTCCAAATAAAGAAGATCTTTAAGATATAAGGACATGAATAATCATAGATCAGAATGCACTTAGCTTTACTTGCTGATAAATAATAACTTTTTTAGAAAATACTAGGCATCAGTTAATATGTTCTTTCTGATATGCCTGGGCTTAAAAAAAGTCTGTCAGTTCTTAAAATTGTCTTTGTTGTGATACTTGTATACCCATTCCATTGGATTGAAAGAACATTCTGAGTGTTGAAAGTTGCTGCATTTTGATAGCCCTTAGGACGTTACAGTACTGGTCCATAGACCAGTGAACCTCTCAAGCAACTCAGTATGGAGTTCATTGCCAATTAAAAATTACTAGTAAATCTTTTTGATATAAGTTATAATGGAAAAAATGAAATCTGGCCATTCAGGTGTTTTTATGGAGGCCACAGGAATAAAGGGATCCAAAGATTAAAATGTTTTTATCTAATTTGCTGATTTTGTTAACTTTATCCTCAAAATGTTCAGTAGTGATAAAGAAGTGGAGAACTGCACTGTAGGAAAGAAAATGGGAGTATTTAAAGGTGGTTGATATTCTTATCTTAATTTTAATTTTATATCTTTTGTATAGCACTACAAAGGAAGTATTTTGTAATTTGGTTTCCTTATTAAAGGTCCAGTATTTGGCAGCCATAGTTGAGATAATATTGTTTAGTACTGTTTGTTTGCATGTTACCAACACAACCTTTTTGAGGACCCATAAATCATGACACTGAACAACTTTTTGGGGTTTTTGAACATAAAGACAAGTGCTGTACTGTTGCAATAACTATGTAGACTGTCTGAGACGTCCCAGGCTTATTTAAACAAGAAAAATTGTAAATAATACCAGTGATACATGCTGTGAAGGTATGAATTGGTGCGTCTCCCTAGCCTTTTGGGTTAACAAGTGGGGTATTTTGTGCCCTAATAATTGGCAGCATGGCATACCTGCAGTGTACCTTGCAACATTAAAGCAAGGTTTTTATTCTAAGGCAGAATAAAACTGTTCAATAAAAAAAATGTGAAAGTTGTTTCTCCTTTCAACATTATTACTTTCTGAACAGCAAAATGTGAAGTGAAACAAAGAAAATAATTTCAGTATCACTTTGTTGATATTTGTCCTTTCAAATGTCTGGATTCTCCCAGATAAGCTCGATTTCCAGCAATAGTGCTGAATCTTATTGTTTATCTTGCATTTTACCAAGTGCATGTAGGAGTAGCCTTAAAAATCAAGGTTTTGGTGGCTTTTTACTTCAATTTCCACAGACATTTCTGAAATCTAATTGGTGCCCTAAATCATAGATTATAGTCATAAAATCATAGGATTTTTGAGGAGAAAGACACCAGCTTAACATAGCACATATCTGATCTACCCCTCAACTTTGGCAAATTCTGGTGAGTTTCTGTAGTGTCTTATGGTCCCCTTTTCAATCCTTGTGGCCCTATTTGGTATCCAGGCAATTCAGAGTCTAGAGGTCATGGAAGGAAAGCACTAAGAAACAGGGCAGGGTCCATCCACACTGTGTTACCTTTATTAGAATCACAGGGAAT